AAGTCTGTAAAGTAATTTCCCATGGGGTTGGGATGCCAAGATAAATACCAAATTTAGAAGAAAAACTAATACAGACATAAGGGTTTTTAAGTTAGTTACCCTTCAAAAAAACTGAAAACCTAAATCAAAGAAAACGTAAACCTTTTCTAGGGGAAACAAAATTAAAAAAGAAAGTTTTTTTTCTCTCTCTCCCCTCCCACCAGCTTACAAATCAGTCTTCTGCTGACCCAGCTCGATGTTCTCGCCTGGAGTCTGAGCGGGCGTCTTGTTCTTCTTCGCCTTCTTCTTCTGCCTGGATCGACCGACGAAATAGGCGACGATCACGACGACCACCATGACGGCGAGGACAATGCCAACGACGATCGGCACGGTGGCTGGGATCTCCACGCGTTCGTCGAGTGTGTAACTCTCCACCTGGCCCTGACGCCAACCGGGCTGTGGGGGGTAGAAGGGGACGGGGAGGGGGAAGGAAGGAGAGGAGAGGGGGAAGGAAGGAGAGAAGAGGGGGGAAGAAGGGTTTCAGAGGAGAGGAAAAGAGAGGGGGAGGGAAGGAAGGGGTTCAGAGGAGAGGAGAAGAAAGAGAAGGAAGGCAGGAGGAGAGAAGAGGGGAAGGAAGGAGGAGGAGGAGAGGAGAGGGGGAAGGAAGGAGAGAAGAAGGGGAGGGGAGAGGAGGAGGAGGAAGGAGAGAGGGGACGGAGAGGAGAGGGGGAAGGAGGAAGAGGGGGAAGGAAGGAGAGGAGAGGGGACGGGAGGAGAGGAGAGGGAGGAGAAGGAGAGAGGGGGAAGGAAGGAGAGAAGAGGGGAAGGAAGGAGAGAAGAGGGGGAAGGAAGGAGAGGGAGAGGGAGGAAGAAGGAGAGAAGAGGGAAGGAAGGGAGAAGAAGGGGGAAGGAAGGAGAGGAGAGCGGAGGAAGGGTTTCAGAGGAGAGGAGAAGAGAGGGGGAGGGAAGGAAGGGGTTCAGAGGAGAGGAGAAGAGAGGGGGAGGAAGGAAGGAGAGAGGAGAGGAGAAGAGAGGGGAGGGAAGGAAGGGGTTCAGAGAGAGGAGAAGAGAGAGGGAAGAAGGAGAGGGAGCGAAGGAAGGGTTCAGAGGAGAGAGAAGAGAGAGGGAAGGAAGGAAGGAGTTCAGAGGAGAGGAGAAGAGAGAGGGAAGGAAGGAGAGGAGCGAAGGAAGGGGTTCAGATGAGAGGAGAAGAGAGAGGGAAGGAAGGAGAGGGGATCGAAGGAAGGGGTTCAGAGGAGAGGAGAAGAGAGAGGGAAGGAAGGAGAGGGAAGTGGGAAGGGGACGGAGGATGGGAGGAGAGGGAAGTGGGAAGGGGGACGGGAGGAGAGAAAAGGGGGGGGGAAGGGAACAGGAGGAAATGGAAAGAGGAAGCAGGGAGGAGGAAAGGGAAGGAGAGGGAGAGGAGGAAAGCGGAGGAGAGGAGGAGGAAGAAAGGGGAGGAGAGGGAGAGGGGGAAAGGGGAAGAGAGGGAGAGGTGAAAGGGGGAGGAAGGGGAGAGGAGGAGGAAGGAAGGAGAGGGAAGGGAGAGTAGAGGGCGGAAGGAGACGAGAGGAGGGGAGGGAAGGAGAGGAGAGGGGTGCAAAGGGAAAAAGTCGGGGAGAGGAGGAAAGAGTGGAAAGGAAGTACGTTATAGAGTGAAGAAGGAGAGGAAGAAGAATAAAGGAAAAGAGAAAGTAAAAGAGAAGAAAGGAAAAACGAAAGGGAAGACGTGGAGATAACAGAAGAGAAGAAGGAGAGGAAGAAGAAGAAAGAAAAAGATAAAGTAAAAGAGGCGAAAGGAAAAACGAAAGGGAAGACATGGAGATAACAGAAGAGAGAAGACGGGTAAAGAAAAGGGAAGAGGAAAGAGATGGAAAAGGAAGAAGAGGAGAAGGAAGAAGAGGGAAGATTAATACTATGGGGCAGGAAGTGGTGTGAGACTAGATATTAAATATTAGATTACGAAAGCTAATATTATCAAAACGGTGTTAACATTATTGGTTTTGATTGCAGGAGGCGTGTGTGTGTGTGTGTGTGTGTGTGTGTGTGTGTGTGTGTGTGTGTGTGTGTGTGTGTGTGTGTGTGTGTGTGTGTGTGTGTGTGTGTGTGTGTGTGTGTGTGTGTGTGTGTGTGTGTGTGTGTGTGTGTGTGTGTGTGTGTGTGTGTGTGTGTGTGTGTGTGTGTGTTGTGTGTGTGTGTGTGTGCGTGTGTGCGTGTGTGTGTGTGTGTGTGTGGTGTGTGCGTGTGTGCGTGTGTGTGCGTGTGCGTGTGTGTGTGTGCGTGTGCGTGCGTGTATGCGTGTGTGTGCGTGTGTGTAGTGTGCGTGTATGCGTGTGCGTGTGCGTGTGGTGTGTGTGGTGGTGTGCGTGTATGCGTGTGTGTGTACGCGTGTGTGTGTGTGCGGTGACCGTTCGTGTGAGCGTGCGTTCGTTAGTACATGTATGCATTGGACTAGCTGTGCATGTGCCTGAATGAACCATCGACTTCTCATTTCCCATTTTCTTTCTCTCTCTTGAAAAAGAAAATGGGAAATGAAGAGATGCCGGGCAAACCGCGTCGTACCGTGATATCGTTATCGCTCAGGAATTTCGTGAGGAAGTCGTCAAGAGGTTGGAAATAGTCGAGCAGGGCCGAGGCGTCCATATTGCCATTTCCGGTTCCTAGGAAATCGCCCAGCTGTTTCTTCCACGGCTCCGACGCGCCTTTCTGCAGTAGGTCCCTGGGGGTGGAGAGGGGGGTAAGGGTGTGTACACATTGGGGAAGGTGGGGGGGAACCTGTTCTGTGTGCTATTTTCCCCTCTCTTTTTCATCTAAATCTCCTCAGTGTCTCCATATGTCTGTCTCTATCTCTCTTCTCAGTGTCTGGCTCTTTCTCTGTCTGTCTGTCTGTCTGTCTGTCTGTCTGTCTGTCTGTCTGTCTGTCTGTCTGTCTCTCTCTCTCTCTCTCTCTCTCTCTCTCTTTCCTTCCATCCCAGACTTGCTCTTTTCCCTCGATCTCTCCCTCCTCCTTCCTCCATTCCTTCATCCATAACTGACCCACACACCCTCCCTCCCTCCCACCCACCCACACACACACCCATCCACCCACCTACCCTCCTCCCTCCCACCCCTTCCCCCCAACAACCCTCCCCCCACCATACCTCAGGTGATCCCCAGCAGCCGTGCTGTTGTAGATGCTGCAGTTGTAAATATTTCCCTCGAAGCCAGAGATGTTGCAGAGGCGGGCGTGGAACTGGAACTGCAGGATGTGGGCGACGAAGTACCTGTGAGGAGAGGGAGGCAGAGAATAAAGAAGAGGGTGAATGTGGGAACTGGAGGGTTGTGGGAGGGAAGAGAGAGAGAAGGAGAGAAGGAGGGAGATGGATAGGGATGGAGGGAAGGAGGGAAGGCGAGAGGGAGATAGATGGATAGAGAAATAGATAGATAGATAGAGACAGACAGACAAAGAGACAGAGTCAGAGAAAAAGAGAGAGCGAGAAAACGAGAAACAGAAAGAAAAAGAGTACACATACATACTAACCCGGGGGGGGGGAGGAGCATAGGGTACTCTCCGGGGGGGGGGGCGGCCACGGAGCAATACGAAAAATCATAACATCGAATTAAACTGAATTTTATCTCACCTGCAATGCCTCCTTATAGCTATCTCTCACATATCGATATATATGAATCTCCATAAAGTGTTTTTGTTTAGCAACTGACACCATGACACTATAACAAGCAATCAACTGAATCTGAAAAGATGTCAATCACGGCAACGGGGTCGTGGATATCATTATATATACAGGAGACACAACACGAAAAGGTCTTTCGGGGCCACGAGAAGACGAGAAGAGTAGGTCGGTGCCATAGGGATCGGTCGGGGGCCACAGGACAAGAAAGGTCTGGTCTGTCGGGGCCACGAGACAAGAGAGGTCTGTAGGTCATTAATATACTGTCAACACAGAAGAAAGAAGGTCTGGTCTGTCGGGGCCACGAGACAAGAGAGATCTGTCGGGGGCCACAGGACAAGAAAGGTCTGGTCTGTCGGGGCCACGAGACAAGAAAGGTCTGTCGGGGCCACAGGACAAGAAACAAGTTCTGTCGGGGCCACGGGACAAGAGAGGTCTGGTCTGTCGGGGGCCACGAGAAGACGAGAAGAGTAGGTCGGTGCCATAGGGATCGGTCGGGTCCAGGGCCACGAGACAAGAAATGACAAAAGGTCGTCGGTGCCTTCGGGGCCACCACGATAAGAAAGGTCTGGTCTGTCGGGGGCCACGAGACAAGAAAGGTCTGTCGGGGCCACGAGACAAGAAAGGTCTGTCGGGGCCACAGGACAAGAGAGGTCTGGTCTGTCGGGGCCACGAGAAGACGAGAAGAGTAGGTCGGTGCCATAGGGATCGGTCGGGGGCCACAGGACAAGAAAGGTCTGGTCTGTCGGGGCCACCACGGGGGCCACAGGACAAGAAAGGTCTGGTCTGTCGGGGCCACGAGACAAGAGAGATCTGTCGGGGGCCACAGGACAAGAAAGGTCTGGTCTGTCGGGGCCACGAGACCTGTCGGGGCCACGGACAAGAGAGGTCTGGTCTGTCGGGGCACGAGAAGACAAGAGTAGGTCGGTGCCGGATCGGTCGGGGCCACAGGACAAGAAAGGTCTGGTCTGTCGGGGCCACGAGACAAGACGAGACAAGAAAGGCTGTCGGGCCACGAACTCTGTCGGGGCCACGACAAGAGAGGTCTGGTCTGTCGGGGCCACGAGAAGGAGAAGAGTAGGTCGGTGCCATCTCGGTCGGGGGCCACAGGACAAGAAAGGTCTGGTCTGTCGGGGCCACGAGACAAGAAGAGAGCCACAGGACAAGAAAGGTCTGGTCTGTCGGGCCACCAGACAAGAGAGTCTGTCGGGGGCCACGGACAAGAGGTTTGGTCTGTCGGGGCCACGAGAAGACGAGAAGAGTAGGTCGGTGCCATAGATCGGTCGGGGGCCACAGGACAGGTCTGGTCTGTCGGGCCACGAGACAAGAGGATCTGTCGGGGGCCACTTCTGTCGTCGGGGCCACGAGACAAGGAAGAGATCTGTCGGGGGCCACGAGACAAGACAAAGAGATCTGTCGGGGGGACGAGACCACTGGACGAGAAAGAGTGGTCTGGGGCCCCACCAGAGATCTGTCTGCTGGGGCCACGAGGCGAAACAGAGAACGGTACGAACGCCGAGAGGGCGGGGGCGAGCTTACGGGGCGAGGCCTTGGACGTCCAGGATGAGGGTCTGAGGAAGAGGAGGAGCGAGGAGGAGGAGGAGGGAGGAGGAGCGAGTGGGGAGGGGGGGAGGAGGAGGAAGGAGGAGGAGGGAGGGGGAGGGAGGAGGAGGACGGAAGTGGGAGGAGGGAGGGGAGGAGGAGGAGGAAAGGAGGCAGGAGAGTGCCGCTAAGCGAGAAGGGGGAGGGGGAGGAAGGAGGAGGAGGAAAGGAGTGGAGGAGGCAGGAGGAAAGAGGAGAAGAGGGGAGAAGGAAGAGAGGGGAGGAGGAGGAGGAGGAGAGGGAGGAGGAGGAGCGAGGGAGGAGGAAGGAAGAATGAGGGGGAGGAGAGGAAGAGGAGAGCTGGACTAGAGGAGGAAGAGGAAGGAGGAAAGAAGAGGAAGAGAGGAGAGGGAGGAGGAAAGGAGGAGGAGGAGGAGGAGGAAGTGGTGGTGGTGGAGGAGGAGGAAGAGGAGGAGGAGGGAGGAGGACGAAGGAAGAGGAGAGGGAAGGAATGGGAAGGAAGGAAGAGGAGAAGGGGGGTGGTAGAGGAGGAGCGAAGAGGGAGGGAGGTACGTAATCTAGTTTGGAGTAGGAGGAGCCAGGAGGAGGAAATGAGCTGTAGGTGGGGAGCGCAAGCGAGCACAGGATAGAGGAGAGGGTAGGAGGTTGAAGATGCGCAAGTGTGAAGTGGTGTTGGTGGAGGAGGAGGAAGAAGAGGAGAGGGAGGAGGAAGAAGAGGAGAGGAGAGGAAAGGAAGGAGGAGGAGGAGGAAGTGAGTGAAGGAGGAGGAGGAGGTGTGGGAAGGAGGAGGAGGAGGAAGTGGTGGTGGTGAAGGAGGAGGAAGAATAGGAAAAAGAAGAGCAGGAGGAGGAGAGGTACGAGAAGAGGGAGAGGAAAAATGCAAATTAATAACTTCAATTATCACCATTACTATCATTATCATATTTCATTTATACCTTCGCGTCTAATTTTTCATTACTTTTATAACCTCTCTAGCTTATAATTCATCACTTTTCCAGTAATGAGTTTGTAATTCATCACTCACAAATCATCGTAGTTATCATTGTCATTACTAAAAAAAAAAACATTACATGTAATTAAGCTAAATTACTAGTTTTAATTCATGTTTTTTTTTACGTCGTTTGGTGTTATTTCTATGAAAAAACATCACTGTTTTTTTCCATAAAACATCAACTTCTATCCCACCACTTTTATTCAATTAAATTCGTCTTTTTTATTCTTTCTTTCTTCCATGCACAAACCATCCTTTTTTCTCCCGCCATTTTTTATTCCTCAAAAGCCAATCGTACCAAAAATATTTCTCTATTTATCTATATACTTATTCTTTTATGTTTTTTTTAATGTATCTATTTTATGCATTTATTTATTTATTCATTAATTTATGTATTTATTAATATATTCATTCATGTATGTATTTATCTATCTATCTATTTATTTCTAATATTTTTCCTTCTCTTTTTTATCACAACCTCCCTTACCCCGTTTCTCCCACCAGAGTTTGTTGAGTTCGCCGTTATCTAATTATCTATCTATTCATCTAATTATTTATCTATTCATCTATGTATTGTTTATCTATCTATCTATTTATTCCCATTATCTTTCCTTCTCTTTTATCACAACCATCCCTTGCCGTTTCTCCCACCAGAGTTTGTTGAGTTCGCCGTTATCTATTATTTATCTATTCATCTATGTATGTATTTTATCATCTATGTATGTATTTATCTATCTATCTATTCCCATTATCTTTCCTTCTCTTTTATCACAACCATCCCTTACCGTTTCTCCCACCAGAGTTTGTTGAGTTCGCCGTCATCTAATTATCTATCTATTCATCTAATTATTTATCTATTCATCTATGTATGTGTTTATTCTATCTATCTATTCATTCCCATTATCTTTCCTTCTCTTTTATCACAACCATCCCTTACCGTTTCTCCCACCAGAGTTTGTTGAGCTCGTCGTTATCTAATTATTTATCTATTCATCTAATTATTTATCTATTCATCTATGTATGTGTTTATCTATCTATCTATTCATTTCCATTACCTTTCCTTCTCTTTTATATCACAACCATCCTTACCGTTCTCCCACCAGAGTGTTTGTTGACGCTTCTCGCCGTTATACTATTAATATTTATCTATTTCATCTACTCTAGACCTATCATCTTTTATTGCTACGTAACAGATCTGGAGTTGTGTATAGTCTCTATCATACTATTTATGTTCCCACTCAATATCCATTCCTTTCCTTCTCTTTTATCACAACCATCCCTTACCGTTTCTCCCACCAGAGTTTGTTGAGTTCGCCGTTCTCGTTGTTGTCTGCGAACACTTCCCACCTGTACTTGTCCAAGATGTAGGCGTAGGGCAGGAACGCTACCTGAAAGAAGGGAGAGGGAAAATTGATGATGAGGGCAGGTGTGGGTAGTGGAGGAGGAGGAGGAGGAGGAGGAGGAGGAGGAGAAGGAGAGAGGAGGGAGGAGGAGGAGAGGGAGGAGAGGGGAGGAGGACGGTGGTAGTTGGTAGGAGAGGAGGAGGAGACAGGAGGAGGAGGAGGAGGGAGAACGAGAGCAGGAGGAGGAGGTGGAAGTGAGGAGGAGAAGGAGGAGAGAGAGGGGGAGAGGAGAGGGAGGGGAGGGGAGGAGGAGGGAGGGAGGTGGTTAGGGGAGAGGAGAGGAGAGTGGAGGGAGGAGGGGAGGGGGAGGGGGGGGAGGGGGAAGGGGGAGGAGGAGGAGGTGGTAGTGGAGGAGAGGAAGCGTAGGAGGAGGAGGAGGAGGAGAGGGAGGAGGGGGAGGGAGGGAGGAGGAGGGAGGAGGAGGAGGGAGGCGTTAGTGGAGGAGGAGGAGGAGGAGGAGGAGGAGGAGGAGGAGGAGGAGGAGGAGGAGGTGGAGGAGGAGTGAGTGGAGGAGGAGGTGGTGGAGGGGTAGTGGAGGGAGAGGAGGAATGGAGTGGGGGAGGATGGAGGAGGTGGTAGTGGTGGTGGAAGTGAAGGAGGAGGAGGAGGAAGAGAAGGGGAAGAAGGGGGAGACAGCAGGTGAGGAGAAATTCATAAAAGTGGACATTGAATTCATGAAGAAAAAAAAAAGTTAACATGGATTTCATAAGTGGATGACGAATTCATAAAAGTGGATTTGCAGTCTACAAGAGGATATGGAATTCATGCACGCATTAAAGTGGATTTCGGGTGGAATTCAGAACCTGAAGTGGATGAGCAACTGAAGTTTGCCTCAAGAAATCATAAGAGTTAAGACCAATATTCAATTCAATATTTTCAACATCAGAAAAGGCCAAAAAAAAAACACATGAATGATACTAATGAATTCTGTAGCGAAATATTTGCTTTGTTGCCAAACCCAAAAGAATGATTTTCTTACGTGGTAACAATAAATTATGAAAATGAATAAAATAATAATAACAAATACTTTTTCTACATAATGATGAAAAAATAATAACAAAAACACATTTATTTACGTCACTTTTTTCTACATGATAATAAAAAATGATAAAAAAAAAAAAAAACATTACCTTACGTGTTAACGACAAATAAACAACAGAGGTGCCATAATAACAAATAGAAAGAAAAGATAATAAGAGAGAAGAATGAAAAAAAAAAAAAAAAATAAGCCCGTGACCCACCTTCGCCAGCGCCGTTTTCATAAGGAAGTTGATGTCCTCCTCCGGGTACGGCATCTCAGTCGTAGTCTCCGGGGCCTCCGTGGTGTCTGCGCTCGCCTCGCTGGAGCTCTCGGAGACGGCGGAGCTAGAGGTGGAGCTTGAGGAGACGGCGGCGCTAGAGGTGGAGCTTGAGGAACTTGCTCTAGCTCCCTGGTCCTCCTCGTTGGCTGCCGTCAAGAATCTGTCCGGTGGCGGCTGGGCGGAGGAGGAGGAGCTGTCTGGAGGGGAGGAGCTTGGTGGCTCGGCAGTTGTCGAGCTCATGGCCGCCGGCGTGAGGTGAGGCTGTAGGTTCCGTTGGTGAGGCGGTCGGCGATGAGCTGGAGGTGAGCTGGCGTGGTCACGGAGAGGGCGATGGTGTCTCCGATGGCCTCGTGGAAACCTGGGGGTGAGAGGTCAGGTCAGGCGAGGTCATGTCGAACTTTCTTTCTCTCTCTGACACACACACACTTACTCTCTTTCTTTCTTTCTTCTCCCCCCCCCTCTCTCTCTCTCTTTCTCTCTCCCCCTCTCTCTCTCTCTCTCTTTCTTTCTTCTCCCCCTCTCTCTTTCTTCTCCCCCCCTCTCTCTCTCTTCTTTCTTTCTTCTCCCCCCCCCTCTCTCTTTCTCTCCCAGACCACAAACACACACACAAGCACTCTCTCTTTCTTTCTTCTGCCCCCCCTTCTCTCTCTCTCTTTCTCCCCCCTCTCTTTTTCTCTCCAGACCACAAACACACACACAAGCACTCTCTCTCTCTCTCTTACTCCCCCCCCTCTCTCTCTCTCTCTATCCCCCCCCCCTCTCTCTCTATCTCCCCCAATCTCTCTCTCTATTCCACCCACCCCCTCTCTCTCTCTTCCACCCCTCTCCCCCTCTATTTTTCTCACTCACAGCCACCCACCACCCCCGCCCAACCACACATGGCCTCCACCAACCTACCCACACCCACAGCCAGCCACCGTCCCACCCACACCCACAGCCAGCCACCGTCCCCACACACACACACACACCCACAGCCACCCACCCGTCCACCCACACCACAGCCAGCCACCGTCCTCACCCCACCACACCACAGCCAGCCACCGTCCCCACCCACACACACACACCCACAGCCAGCCACCGTCCCCACCCCCACACACACCCACAGCCAGCCACCGTCCCCACCCACACCCACACACACACCCACAGCCAGCCACCGTCCCCACCCACCACACACACCCACAGCCAGCCACCCATCCACACACGGCCACCCACCGTCCCACCACACCCACCCACACACACCACACGCGCTCTCCTCACCAGGGTTCGCCCCGTCCCTGAAGACCAGGGGGCGGTCCTCGATGGGCTCGCTGTACGCCATCTGGTACTGGTGTGGCCCATCTCGTGGTGGATGACAATGAAGTCCTCCTGGTTTGTTGGTGCACATCTTGATCCTGTGATGGGGGGGGGGAGGGGAGGAGGAGGAGTGAGGGGCGTTATTGTTGTTCTTTGTTTGAGGTTGTTGGTTGTTGTTTTTCGTGGTCGTTATTATTTTATTTTGTATATTTTTTTTGTCTTTCTTTTTTCGTTTTTTTTTTGTTTCTATCTTTCAATTTTTTTGTTTATGTTTTTTTCTCTTCCTTTCGCTTTGTGTCTTTCTTTTATTTTTCTTTCTCTTTTTTTTTCTCTCCCTCCCTCCTATCCCCCAACCCATCCCCCTAACCAACCCACCAACCCACCTGAACCTCCTATCCCCCAACCCACCCTCTAACCAACCCACCAACCCACCTGAACCTCCCTTCCTCCTATCCCCCAACCAACCCCCCCTCTAACCAACCCACCCCCTCAACCACCCACCAACCCACCTGAACCTCCCTTTCCTCCTATCCCCCAACCCCACCCCCCTCTAACCAACCCACCTGAAATCCCCAAACCCACCCCCTCTAACCAACCCACCAACCCACCTGAACCTCCCTTCCTCCTATCCCCCAACCCACCCCCTCTAACCAACCCACCTGAACCTCCCTTCCTCCTATCCCCCAACCCCCCCCCTCTAACCAACCCACCAACCCACCTGAACCTCCCTTCCTCCTATCCCCAACCCAACCCCCTCTAACCAAACCCACCAACCCACCTGAACCTCCCTTCCTCCTATCCCCCAAACCCAACCCCCCTCTAACCAAACCCACCCCCCTCAACCAACCCACCAACCCACCTGAACCTCCCTTCCTCCTATCCCCAACCCCACCCCCTCTGAACCCACCCCCCCAAAAACCCAACCCACCAACCCACCTGAACCTCCCTTCCTCCTATCCCCAACCCACCCCCCTCTAACCAACCCACCAACCACCTGAACCTCCTCTCCTCCTATCCCCCAACCCAACCCCCCTCTAACCAACCCACCAAACCCACCTGAACCTCCCTTCCTCCTCCCCAACCACCCCTCTAACCAAACCACCAACCCACCTGAACCTCCCTTCCTCCTATCCCCAACCCACCCTCACCAACCCACCTGAACCTCCCTTCCTCCTATCCCCAACCAACCCCCCTCTAACCAACCCACCAACCCACCTGAACCTCCCTTCCTCCTATCCCCCAACCAACCCCCCTCCCCAACCCAACCCCCCTCTAACCCCACCAACCCACCTGAACCTCCCTTCCTCCTATCCCCCAACCCACCCCCCTCTAACCAACCCACCAACCCACCTGAACCTCCCTTCCTCCTATCCCCAACCCAACCCAACCCACCCCCTCTAACCAACCCACCAACCCACCTGAACCTCCCTCCCTCCTATCCCCCAACCCACCCCCCTCTAACCAACCCACCAACCCACCTGAACCTCCCTTCCTCCTATCCCCTCAACCCCACCCCCCTCTAACCAACCCACCAACCCCCACCCCCACCTGAACCTCCCTCCCTCCTATCCCCCAACCCACCCCCCTCTAACCAACCCACCAACCCACCTGAACCTCCCTTCCTCCTGGGGGTTGACGGTGTCGTAGAAGTCCCAGGCGGAGGCGTGGCAGATGGCCTTCCTGGGCGCCTCGGGTTCCCTGAAGAGCGAATTGTTCCAGAAGTCTTCGGTCATTGGGAAAAGGTTGATGCTCGTGAAGAATTGCTGGGCGAGCTCGAACATCTCCTCCTCGCGGTCGATCTGCGGGACGGGACAAGGAGGCTGAGGGAGTGGTTCCTCTTTCGCGGGGTAGAGAGGGTGAGCGGAGGACAACAGCGAAGAAAAAGAAGAAGAAGAAGAAGAAGAAGAAGAAGAAGAAGAAGAGAAGAAGAAAGAAGAAGAAAGAAGAAGAAGAAGAAGAAGAAGAAGAAGAAAAAAAAAAAATATATATATATACATACATATATATATATGTATATATAATTCTTTTTTTTCATATATATATTTTTTCCTTTCCTTTCCTTTTTTTCTCTCTTTTTTCTTCTTTTCTTTTTTCTTTTTTCTTTTTCTCGCGGTCGATCTCAGGGAGAGAAAAAAGGGATAGTGAGAAGGATGGAAGAAGGATAGTGAGGATTCTCTTGAGGATCGTAGGGGTCGAAGGGGGGGGGGAGGAAAGCTTAAAGACGAGGATAATAAATATGGTGATGAAGACAGTGAAGCTGAGGGTGTAGTGGGAATAATGGTTTGTTTATCTATACATCTCT